TTTTTTTTTTTTTTTTTTGAGTAAAAAACTAGACCATAAGTGATAATTATTCCATACCCGAGGCAAATTAGCAGGCATTACAATAGTGACATCACCCTCCCAATCCTGAGCAAAGAGCTTCACAAGTCCTCCGATCGAAAAACCGAGCTCCAACATCTGATTACACCTGTGTTTCACCTCCATCTCGGCTAAACGAGCAATCTGCACATTATAAGTTAAAATGTGTAAATTTGAAATGAGTTATTTCGAAGATAACTCTACAATAAGAAGTTCATTTGACGATTCACGAGGTTTTTCATTTTTTATATTGCACACACACACACACACACACACACACACACACATATATATATATATATATACCTTTGCAGCAAATTTCCCTCCATAAGCTCTAACAATCTCCTTTATCTTCAGCAAGGGAGTAATGTACGGGTTCGACTGGCTCACGATAAAATGATTCACATTAAAAAGCTCCTTCAGCTGCATCTTAGGCAGATCAATCTCCAAACTCACATCTCTCCACCTACGAGCCGAGCTTGAGCTCCCAGGCCTCGAAAAGCCCGGGAAAAGCCCAATCTCTCCATTCCTATCCTTAGCCATGAGCTGTTGGTTCTCGAAAAGCCCGGGAAAAGCACAAGAAGCTGTGACGGCGCTCCATATCACGACATGTGGCGAAGTTAAATAATTAAGACATTTAGGTGGCTCGTTTTTTCTCGGGGAACAAATGGTGATCCCGAGTATTCGGCCCGTAATGTCGTGGGCCTCTTGAAAAGTCAGATTATTCGTCAGACGCCTCAAAATCATCTGAAACTGCCAAATTTCGTGGGCCGAGGCCCGAGTTGTGGCCCTTTTGAAAACAGCGAAGACCCCACAAATCTGGTTGAAAAACTTAGTCGAATCCTCGAAAATGCTCGTGAGCTCGGGCCAAGAATGGGTCGCGATAACCGAACATACTATGGACCCGACACTCGACCCGGCTATTATCCGAGGCAAAAGCTTGTGCTCGACCAATGTTTTAACCACACCAAAATGAAAAGCTCCTAGAGAAGAAGATCCTCCACTCAAAAGCAAAGCTGTCCGGCCAAACGAGTTCCTAGTCTCGTGCATGAAAGTGATTTTTTCTTCTAGAGTAAGCTCCCCCGAGCCCAAACCTGAACCTGAACCACACACCATTCTTAACTGTGTGGTGACCTCATCTATATACTCTTTTATTAGCTTCGGCACGTTTAGCCTTCCTTTGTGAAGCTCGGGATTACACATGTTGCCGAAATTTCTAACTAAATCAGCTCTCATGTAGAATGTGATGTCTCGAATGGAACCCTCTTGCCGCCTTTGGCGAAACTCTTGGACTTTATTCCTCACGAGCTCCTCGTCATAAAAGTCGGCATCTTTCCGTCTCGGACTCATTTTGTCGAGCATCTTGGCTGCGTGGGCCCACTCCTCGTATGTTAACGAGGCCTGCATTATTTTCCGGCAGAATTTTCTCCGGTAAGCCATCTCGACCAATTTTTTCACATTCGTGAGAGGCCTTATTAGCACGAAAGCTATTAGCGGGATCACTAAGAGTACGCCTTGCGGGTTTCGTGGGTGGAACCACGAGACGAGGGGCGATATGTAGCGATTATTAAAAAATCGGTTTTTGAATTCGTGAAGGTGGGTTAAAAGCATCCTGAGAATCTGATGCCTCAAGTGTGAGATGGAATTGCAGAGCAAGACTTTAAAGGCGATTGTTTGGCCCGAAAGGGTCGACAGCCCGATTGAGTCGACTCGGGCCTCATTGCTTATATCCATGGTGTCAGCTAAATCAAGAACCGATCTATTCTAGTTATGTGATGTGTGAAATTCAAAAAAATTTCAAACAACACCTGAAATTTCCCTGAATAAAAAACAAAAAACTTGCAGTAAAATCGAGAACGCAAAATTGCAAACCTCAAATTTGAATCAACCCATTGAGTACAAAATCCACAGAATGAGTATTACACAGGCTTCGTTAAACCCCAGAACTTGAAACGAGACATAAAGAGCAAATGACCCTAAAGATTCAATTTTTTTTCGCTGCCCCTCGATCAAAACTTCAAAAGGGTCCTCAGATAAACCCCACAAAAGAAAAAAGGAACAAAAAAGACGCTACAAGTTCAGAGAAATCCACCCAAGCTTCATCGTAAGGAGAAATTTACCATCTTTCTTCAAATTAGGGAAAGCATAAGAATTGAGAAGGTTGAGCTGCAGAAATAGAAGTAAATGCGCATTCGCGCAAGCTGAAGTCACATTTGATTAAACAATCAACTTTTTAAGCTTTATTATTCATTGGGATTGTGAAAGCAAGCGGCGTTGGGAAAAACGAGATAAATATCACACTTTTTGTGCATTATCTGTTGGCGGGATTATATATGCTCAAAGCACGATAGTCTGATGTTTTTTGTTTTTTTTGTTTCTTTTTTTTTTTAAACTTATATGGACATTGTGACTTTTTTGGCCCATTTAGGTCGTGCTCTTTTTTTGGTACAAAGAGAGACAAACGTTCTGTGGGCAGGAGACATTTCTAACATCGTGCTCAAACTACAGAAGAACGCCGGAAGGTGGGTTTGGAAGTCGATGGCACCCAAGAGAGACCGAAGCCGCATAAGATGCCATGTTGTCCGCAGCAAAGTTCGTCTCACGAAAGTTATGAGAGATCTGCACCTGCCAATCTCGACTTAAGAGCTCTCATACCCCTATTACCAAGTCAGAGTGAATCTCCTCTACATCCTTTGTATTATTTGGAAATCCCACGACTATGGAATTTCTTTTATTTTTTTATTGGACTTATATAGACATTGTGACTTTTTTTTATCCATTTAGGTGACAGCATACAGTCGGGCATCCAACTTTAATCCTTACTTCGCGTTGGATGTTTTTTAATAATAATAAAAAAAAGCACAATCCTCTATGATCTTCTTATGTTAGTGACAACGAGATGCTTGTGAACTCGACTCGATTCAGCTCGATTTGAGAAAATGCTTGTAGACTCGACTCGGTTCAATTTGATGTGTTAAAATTCGAGTTTTGTTGGGGTCATTTAATTAACGAGCCATGAGACATCATATAGAGAATAGCGCCGCTCGCCACTTAATTTTGACCATTAATATTTGAGTGATTTGCTAATATTGCTAAATAAATCGAGCTCGACACATTTAGCCAAGAAGTCAAGTTCGACTCAGTTATATAAAATTCTGGAAGTAAAATTGAATATCAAGAGCTCATACTGTTTACACCCTTAATAATTAATCATAGACTTGTTCTTTGGATTTGTGTGTATAGATCTGAGATGCGCCTTAGTAGTTTTTATTATGAAAACAATTTATAGAAAAAAGGGAAAAAACAATGCCGATTATTGGAATGATTAGGGAAAAATTTAGCCATACACAGCGAATTATTTTTCATTGCAAGAATACAACTGAGACTAATTTAATTTCAAACATACCACATGTATTCAGTTACCTCAACAAACAAGGCTCATTCCTTAAATCACGGGATTTATGAAGCAGCGGTTTTGTGGAAAAAAAATATAAAAATAATGGAAGTGTATATCCTAATATATAGGATATTCTTTAATTCAAATTTAAATCACATGTAGTTTGAAATTTAAAGATTATTATCTTGTAGTGCAGCATATATCCCAGCTACTATATCCATTAAAAAAAGTGGGTTCATTTTTTTATTTAATCTTTTTTGTTTTATATTTAATAATTTATTAAATGGGTTTTTCAGTTTTTTAATGTATATACAGTTTTTTAATGGTATATGTATAGTTTATTTTAATCGTTTTTATTTTTAAACATTGCTCTTTTGAGAATATACCGAAAATATACTAACTATAAACCCTGAATAACCATACAAATAAAACGCTCGACCCTTAATTGTCGTGCATATTCCATTACAAATACCAAAAAAAAAGAAAGAAAAAAAAACATGTGTTGTAATTCACGCAGGTCCAGGGTGGGTATATGTTGCGTTTATGTTAGTATATATTCAGTATATGCTTAATATATATACATAAAAGATACCATAAAAAATGTTGGTGTATGTGTTGTATATATTTCAGTGATTATAGTAAATATAAAACATAATTATGGTATATATAATGAATATATAAAACATAATATCGGTATATATACTTACAATACAAACCGTAATGATGGGATATGTATTGTATATGTTTTCCATGATTTTACTAAATATAGACCATACATATACCGAAGATATACTTAATCTAAATCATATATATAACAGAGAGGGAACGATACAAACAGGATACAATATGAGGGGATAAAAATATACCGAAAATAAGACGTACATATACTTAACATATACTGCATATACACTCTACATATACTAAAACATATAACAAAATAGAGAATCGCAACTGGCAACAACTTCATAACATCTCAAGAAAACAATCAACTCAAACAAGATGTGAAAACCCAACAAAATGCACACCCTATCAACCGGCAAGAAAAAAAATTAGAGAATCACGAACATAAGAAATGAAACCAGGTATATATCCAACGATTAACGCCAATTCATTACATAATAATTTCTTTTAATTAATTGCAGCAAGATCATCGAGATTGACAATCCTCTTGATGCGGCTCTTCCATTGTCGATCGTCGATCTCTCCGACGGGGGCATCTCAGCCGTCCACCAGCTGCGTCCTGTTTTCAGCGACGGTTTGCACGCCAGACCATTTCCCGACGATTTTTGACATTTTCGACCCCCAATCGCAACGCAAGCCTCAACCCCTGTCGTGCTGCAAACCTCGACAATCGGCGACCTCACCTTTGAGCTCTGTTCGGCGACCTTCGACGGGCCCCGACCTCCGATGGGCTGCGACCTTCACAAGCGACCGCCGATCACCCCGTTGCCGGAAGCCCTACACGGGTGCGGGAAGAAGAAATTAAAATTTGGGATTTGATTGTTGTGAAATTTTTGAGTTTCTGCTAATTGTAGAAGAAAGAAATTTGGGGATCAGTCGAGTAGAAAGAGAAGTGACGGGGGAGAAGAAAAACGAAGAGTGGAAAAAGGAGAGGAAAAGAAAAGAAAAGGAAAATAGGTGCGAACCAGAACAAAATCTTATGAGGTTTTACAGTGGAGAAGATAATCGTAGAGAGAGAGCGGAATTACAAGCTTGTGAAAAAAAGATGCCGTGTGAATACAATTATTGTGTAAGGAAGGCCCAATTAAATGCATGAGTTACATTTTAGGTATAATTGTAATACTTTTTACTTGGTTTAGTCATTTTATAAATAAGTATATAATGGACGTATAAGTGTAATATAAATGATATATGATGGTAAGGGGTGCAAATTCCTCTATAAGAATCAAGTGAGAGGTTACTAGACTTCGGCATAAACTAGTGGGCTACGGCCGGTCAGCCCACCATTATGTATATCTATTGGGCCCCCATAATTTCAAATTTTAATATCTACGGTTTTAGGGCCACCGACCATCCCGGCCCATACGCCTGACGCGGTTTTACGAAGACGTTTTCCTGATTATCCAACACACGATTTAAGCGGCGGGACCCACCTTACCCACTGTAATTCTAGCACGTGTACTTGCCCGCTTATCCATATAAACCGGTGGCTGACTGGCTATTGCCGGTCACTGGACCCCACTACTTGGTTGATGTAGACCGGTATATGCGCAACGTACAAATATTATTATATTAACATAATCGCTCCAGTAAGTCAATCAGTGTGCTGGTTCGGACAATAACCAAACCTCAGGTTCGGTATCCGAGCCTCTTGGCTCTCGCTAGTCCGTGCCTATAAAAGTATATTCTTCCTCAGCTCGATGAAGAGTCCATTGTCATTGACTGTATCTGCGAGTTGGGGGTTTGAAGAACAGAGCATTCATCTGTAAGGTACTGTGCGTAGACTGATTTTTTACCTAATTAATTGCGTGATTTATGCCTCTGAAATGTATAGATCTGAAGTTCATCCAATCAAATATGTTTGAGAAATTGTTGAGCTTAGCTTCTGCCGATCTTTGTTTGTTGTTCAGGTGGTTTTGATTCGAACGATAATCGAGCTAATCATGGCTCTCGTGTCTGGTGCAAGATCGACGCTCAATCCAAACGCGCCCCTGTTCATTCCGGCGGCCGTGAGACAAGTCGAGGACTTCTCGGCCGAGTGGTGGGACCTCGTCACCACCTCCACTTGGTACCGGGATTATTGGGTCGGCCAGCACCAGGGAGAAGATATTTTCGGTGAGATGGAGACTGAGCTTGATGATGGTAACAATGTTGTTGGTTTGTTGCCTGATAACATTGATTTTGATGTGGATGAGGATGTTCTGAATATGGAGTCTCAGTTTGAGGAGTTTCTTCAGTCGAGCGAGGGTGGATATGGTGGGAAGGCTTATGGAGGAGGAGGAGCCATCGAATTCGGTACGAGAAATTCTAGATATTTTCGTTCCTGGAAATTATGATTGTTATTGTTAATTTTATATGGAGTACTTGGTTGGGTTTGGAATTTTCTTTTGAAGATTGAGCATTTGTATATAACTATATATAATGGTTTTTGGTTAGAAAGGGACCATTTGTGTAACTCAATGAAATTGGAGCAGTCAGTGGTGGGAATGATTGATTGTTTATGTTAATTGTGGGGAATGATTGATTGTTTATGTTAATTGTGGGTAGTTTCATCCTGCTCAAGCAGTGGGGTTTGTAACCGTTGGATCAAAAATTATGTGATCCGATGGATAAAATCCCCGTGTTGGCACGTGTACGATCGAATTTTTCCTGAATTGTGAAGTACTAAAATCAGGCATACCATTAGTTTTGCAGAGAATTTGAATATGTGAAGGGGTACATATCAATTATTGCCTGGTTTGTTAAGGATGTTGGTCTTTCAATTTCATTTCTCATTTCAGTATTAATGGGATTCATTTTTTTAATTTTATTTTTTTAATTTTGCATATTGTGATCAAGCTTTGACAATGATTGATGAACTCATTTTTGTTTCTCGTGTTATTTTTTATCCCTTTTAGGTTTTGGGAAGAACCCTGATGCAATTATCAAGAATCTTAACATGCAAATGCAGAGAGGCCCCAAGTCTCCAAGGGAGCCGGTTTGGCGCTTTGAGAAGCCCGCCAAGCTCGTGGGCTCAAAACCGAGCCCTCGTTTCATTCAGCAGCCTCGTTAAAGATGTAGCGTTTGTGATGGCTTAGGCCTGAGTTTGCTGTTTGACTCAGCCAAAGCAGGGTACAAGTTCATGTTTTTCTTGCATACTTTCTGTATAGAGCAAGGTTTTTAGCACTTTGTATTTTGCATTGTCCATAGTATGATGGCTGTTGTTTAGTTTTAACATGGAAAAACAAACAAAAAAAAAGTAAAAAAAAAAAAAATGTTGAGAAAAGGCTAAAGAGTTGTTTTAGACCTCATTTTAAAGAAATTGAAGAAAAGAAGTCATTTTATTTGCTTTGTTCCCTTCATTTGTGTTTATTTTTATTTGTACATTTTCATTTATCTATATATGCATCCAGTGGCAGCTCTTAGGGGCCCCTTAAAGGGGCTTTATTGATTGATTCAAATGGGGTTACTCAATGGAATTCAAATGAACCCTTTTAAAGGAAAACAATTCCCATATAATACTTTTTTTTTGTTTATTTTGGAGCTGATAATCACCTTTTTTTCAATAAATTTTTCCATAGTTTTTCAGAATTACTGCTTTTTAGCCTCCATTATGTTTGTGGGGTTAGGTATATCTGTCATTCTCTTTTGATGTTCCTTTTTTGCTGGTCCTAGACAAGCAGTAAAAGCCCACCATCTTTAGTGGGAAATCAATTGATCACCAAACTTGAGCGAAATTCGGACCGTTGAAAATTTAAGCCAATCTCGAGCATTTTATATATTTTTACGAGCCAAGCCTAAAAAACTTAGACTTGTGGAGCTCGAGCAACAGTAATAAAAACCGTGCACAACTAAGTAAGGTTAATGCTCAGCTCGGTTAGTTTGCAATACTATCAGTACGCAAAGATTGCAGTATCATATTCCTTTAGATGTTTGAGAGATTTTTCGACAAATACTGAACAAGGTGCCTAATGTTAATAACGAGAAAACAGCCGAAAATTTAGACAAGTGAAAAGTGAAAACTACTCTTCACTTGTACCAGCCTGTAAGTAGCCACCTCAGCACGAAGCAAAACCCACAGCATATCGCCTGTAGCACATAAGTCGAGTTATGCTTTCTCGTTTGGATGATTAATGAATGTCGGCGTACAATTTTCACCGTTAATTGTGCACATGAAATGAGCTCATCTTTTGCAAACTTACTACTTACTAGCTGCAATTTTGAATAATAATGCCACAACTGAGCTTATATAACCAAAGATACCTAGATTATTTCATTGTGATTCGGAAAATTTCCAATTTTCGATCGAGAAGAGGCAGATAATTTCCGTAATTCATAAAGTTGTAAGTGATATAAGTTACCTGGAAAAGAAGTAAGAGAATACAAAGCGACTTCTCTGATTTTTGTCCAAACTGTCTTAAAAAGAAGTTCACTAGTGTTCCATCATTTGTTCCTGTTAATAAACGAGACTGCGGATCGAACCTGGAAATAGAAAAGTATATTTTAACACTAATCAAGAAAATTTTTACTAAAATCAAATCAAGAATGAAGAAATGCATTGCTCTAGAGTACCTGGGGAGTCTGTGGCGTGGACAAGGTACAATACCAGCCAGCTGTAACCAGATTCATTTTTAATACACGACATATTCTTATCGGAGAGAGAGAGAGAGAGAGAGAGAGAGAGAGAGAGAGAGAACCTAAGGTAGTGAAAGGAGGAAGTTGAGAACTTGTGGAGCAAAGAATATTAGAAGTGTTTCACTGGAAAAGAATAATAGGTTGTAATAGATTTTAGTTACAAACTGGACTCTGCCTTCTATAACTGAAATAAAAATATATAAATGCATGTATATTTAAAACGACTCGGTCGCTCCGCTTCCCTCGCTATGCTCGCAGGCATCAGCCTGCCTCCTTCCTTTGTCAATATATGAACCATACCAACAATCTAGCATTTAACAGTTTTAAACTTCATAAAAGAACAAACTGTGGAACTCACAACTGTAACTAGGGAAAGATAATCAGTAATGTAATAACAACAACATAGTATGAGACTGCCCCTTTTCAGATATGCAAAGGAAAAACCTAAAAATTGAAATAAAAGGACAAAAAAAAAAAAAATGGAGAAATTAAACTTACACTGTGATAGATCCATCGGCCGTCCCTTTCTTGTTTATATCATACCCAAATAAATTCCTTCTCAGCACGTACTTGGACGCCACCGGAATCAAGCTCACCGTTACGAAAAAAAACCCACAAAGCTCACAACCGAGTTGATCAAAACCGACCGTTTGAGCTCATATTCGATTTCGTAGTACATTAAAAAAGCAAGAAAAAATATGGGAGCGCAAAAAGGATGAAGATTTTCAAAATTGTTAGGAGTTTTGCGGGCCGAATGGGAGGTTCTGATTGATGGGTTTCGGGTTTGGGATTTCCTGGTTCGGGCTTTGTGGTCTCCGTCGCCGGAGCTCGCTTCCTAGCGGCCATTGCTGGTGTGTCCATTGTCACGTCTGAGTTCCTCCTCTCTGAAAATCAGTGTACATATTTATTAAATTTATTTATTGTTTATTGATTTTATTTATTTAATAAACTTGCATCTGTATCCTGTTATTGTTTTCTTTATTTACTAGAATGGATATAAATTTTTGTTAATAAAATGTATATTCATCTATTTTTATTCGACTAAATATTATCAAATTCAAAAGACATAAATCAATTATTAGTACACATTTTGACGATAAAATTAACTATCTATCAATTTACATAGTTTTATTTTAACGAACATTCTTCACCATTATTTTTTACTATATTTATATTATATCAACTTTAATTATTAAATTTTATCGTATATCTATTTTTAAACTCAAAATTAGTTTATTCTTTTAACTTTTTCCATTACATTTGCTATTGAGTTAATTTCTTCCATAATAATCCTACGTGATTTGCATTTTTTTTTTTTGGTACAAGAAAGGAGGCTATGCGAAGCCTAGACTACTAAATGAAAACCGACCGAGAATAGGACACTCCAACTTGATCATGAAGTGACCATATACTAGCTCCTATTGGGACTGGTCCAAATGATGAAGATCTCCTGAGCCCTTAGCCGCTAAAGACGCCAGCTAGTCAGAGACGAAATTTGCTTCGCGATAGCCATGAGAAAGAGACACCTCCCATTGCCAACCCAAAAGATCCTTTATTCCCGATAAAATACCCATGTGAGGCCCGGCTTCAATTTCCTGTTGGAGCATCGCAACGATGCTCTTGTTATCGACCTCAGCCTGAACTATTCGAGCCCCGACATCCCAAGCCAGTGATAAGCCTTGGAACAAGCCCCATAGCTCCGCACCAATGATAAAACAATAACCTATATTCATCAAAAAGCCATGGATCCAATACCCTACGTTATTTGCATTTTGCCACAGGTAAAAACCTTCACAAACTGAGAAAATAAGTACAGAAAAACCAGTATATTCAAGCTTAGTGATACAACAGCGCGATCTCATTTAGGACATAAAGGTACTTTTATCTCTCAACAACAATTTCTCCATTTGAGAAAGCTACCTCAGTTTTTTCTTCCAAGCAACAAAAGTCCTCAAAAATGAATGCAAAGTAGAAAAAATCGCATCCAAAGCTAGTCGACTTCCATATCCTTCTCTTTCTCAGATTCTTTACCCGACCACAACTTGATCGTTCGGTCATGAGAAACAGTTGCAATGCACTGTCCATCTGTCACAAAATGATTAAGAAAATGAGTCTTTTTTGACAGAGAGAGAGAGAGAGAGAGAGAGAGAGAAGGAGACTAACCTCCGACTATATCCAACAATGTAACTTTTGATTCATGACCGGATAATGTCTTTACAGGCTTAAAATCTCTCGAAGACCAGATCTGAAGAAAAGAAATTGACGATTCAAAGACAGTTCATAAATCATATTGTATGCTAAGGTTTATTTGAGAACATATATGTATGAAGGAATACCTTAGCAGTCATATCATACGAAGCCGTAACCAGAAAGTAGCCCTCCCGAGGCTCAAATTTGACCTGTGAAATAAGGTTAGAATGAGCCGGTATTATATACAAAGGTTTCCTCTTCCTCAAATCCCATATCCTGCAAGTGTTATCTTCACCACCGGTGGCCAAGTGATAGCCATTGGGAGAGAAACTAACACCTAGAGCCTGAAAAGAGAGAAAGATCTAAATTTTAATATTTCAAAAGCTTAAAGTGCTTTTTCAACAATTAGTGCCCTGTGGTTTGGCATAATTCAAATAAGCGTTAAAAATCTCAAGGCATTATTTGCAGTTTTTTCAGAATTAACCACGACTAACTAAAAAAAACAAGTAAAATACTGGTTTATATGTATCCAAACACTCCCTTACCGACTTCACATGCCCTTCGAAAGTGAGAATACTCTTCCCGGACCTAAGGTCCCACACACGAGCAAGAGAATCGAGCCCACAGGAAGCTGCTAGAGAGCCATCGTGATGGAAAGATATTCCGTACACACTTCTACTATGGCCTTCCTGGTAGAGCAACTCCTCACCAGTCTCAACATCCCATAATCTCCAAGTCTTGTCAAAGCTAGCCGTGCCTAGGTATATTCCGGACGGGTGGAAGGCAATACGGGCAACACGATCCAAGTGGCCCTCGAATGTTCGGAGGGCTGACCCATCGTGATTCCATAGTCTTGATGTCCAGTCGGCTGAGGCAGTCGCCAATTGGTGGTTGATTGGGGAGAATGCAACATCGGTGGCTCGTTCTGTGTGTCCTTTTAGCGAGGACACATTTTTTACGTCGGGCATGGACCATACTTTTGCAACTCCACTTATAGAGCTAAAACAAGAATGGGAAAAAACACCAGGAATACATGCAGGAAGGTATTAAGTTTCATTATAGATACACTCAAAATAGAATTTAGGACTATTCTTTAAAAAAGGAGATATATGGAAGCTATACAAGATAGAACTATATGAAAACTAAACAAAATGATTGCACAGGTATTAAATAAACTCATTTGTAGATAGAATAAAAGGGCAGCAAAGATCACATTTGCCTTGTTTGATGCTTCGGTTGGTCTTTTTTTACATGTATAGCAACAAAAAAAGAGTTTGAACTGATGAAACAAAAAAATAATCAATAAATCATATATAGCTTTTGCTCTTTTATCTTATATGAAAAGTTTACCAGGTGGCAAGCATTTTTCCATCACGCGAAACCGAACAACCTGAGAGCGGCCGATCATCCCCGATCTCACTGCACTCCAAGACCAGATTCCCTGCCTGCTTCAACGACCAATCCACCTCAGCATCCAAATCCTCATCCGGGTCCTGTTTTCTCCTTTTCGCCCGGTGGAGCCTCAAAGCCGACTTCACAAGTGAATACTTTGCAATCTCCTTTCGAGCCTCCAGCAAGGCATGCGATCCCTCCGTGTAGAACGGATACAGAATATCCTCCTCGGGCTCCGCAGCAGCCGCGCTCGATGCTGCTCCCTCCTCGTCCTCATAAGCTTTCATCAGCTTCTCCAGCTGCCCCTCGGCATCGAGCCTTGCCATGAGTGACCTCAGGCGGTCCCGCCTTTCCATCTCCCTCTCCCCAAAGAGGGTAATGGGCTCTCCAAGCCGCCTGAGCCGGGCCCGCACGGCATTGTCATTGGTGGGGACGGCTAAGGCAGCTGCCCGGCGCTTCATGAGAAGTTCTTGCACAGCTTTCTCCTGCCTCTCTTTAACCAGCTTGCTTTCCTCCGACACTTCGTATCTCTGGGACGAACGGTCCATGACCGACTCACCTGAGCCGGAATCGGAATCGGAATCTGCGGGTTTAGAGTCTCCACCTTTCTGAGGTGGGGGTGGCCGGAGGACGGGAGGGCAGACAGGTAACGGAGCTAATGGTCTCGGTATTGGGAGGACCGGAATAGGGGCAATAGGGGGTACGAGGGGGGTTGTGATGACAGGCGGGATTACGGGTTGAGCTGGAAGAATCGGGATGAGGTCGATAGAAGGAGGAACCACAGTTTCACTTATGGCAACTGGAGTGGGGGCAGCGGGTGGGGTTAAAGCGAAGATTTCCTCATCTATGTCCATGGTTCCTGGGTCGAGAAAAAACAAAATCACAAAATGAATTCTGAGCCTCTTAATAGTTCACCACAAGGGAATGCAATGCATATATCTACTAGATAGCTTATGCTATTACCCAAACCGATACTGATACCGAACCGAATGTTTATGTAACCCCAAAGTACAAAACTGAAACTGAACCGACTACATACTGAACCAACACCATAACAGGCATAACTCCATATCAAATACCAGGCACATTCTGAAATACTTAGCTAACTTTCAAAATCACCAAAAAAGTGAACATGGAGTTTCATTCAGTCTCAAGATTGCTTGGGCCAAATTGCAAATGTTAATAACTCTATGAAAGTGAGACGTTTTTGAAATATAGGTTACCAGGATGTATGAGATTTGAGTAATTTTTTGAAAAAAAAAAATATCAACACCATAACAGCAACTCCATATTTGAGGTTACCAGCCCTCCACAAAAATACCCACCTGAGCAGATTTCCGCTGAGTCCGTGTATGGGATTTGAGATGGCGAGCTGCCGCCGACTATCGAGC